GATGACTAAATTTATTTAAATAGAAAGGTTTTATATTTAAAACACTAAAACTTAGTGTTTTATATATATTGGGTATAAATTAGAGCATTTGGTACTGTATAGGATGTTTCAGATAATTTCGGGTCGGAACCGGACTTTCTAAGCAACTGCCGGAAATTCTTAAAATATTTTAACTAAACTAACCTAACTAACTCCTAATCTTATAAATTAACTTCAATAACACTAATATAATCTTAATAAAAGCTAACCTGGGATTTCAAATTTGACTGCTGTCACATCGAAGCCTCTTCTTCTATGCTCACTCAATCGTTTATCATCCGTCTCTATCTTCAATATATTATAATCCTCGATGAAGCTTTTTATGAAGATTTTCTTGTATACAATATGGAATAGAATTGCATTAACCATTATAGCCGTTAGAGAGAATCATAATAATAAATATGAGAAGAAATAATAGAAGTTGGATTTTAGAGAATATGAATATATAAACTTAGTAAAATATTACCTTATCTACTCGGTGGATGGATGAATGTTATTGAACACTTCATGGTAGACAATGTTTTTTATGAGTGTACGGTGTTCCATTTCTTCATCATATTCTAATCGTTGACAATAAACTTTCTTTTACGTGTAGTGGTTGGAGTAGCATTGTTACACGGCGGGGTCCCACCAATATCATCCAAATTTTTCATGTCACTCAAAGCCGTCTCCTATGTCATTTGAAAACCACATAAAAAAATAACTTAAACATAAGGGAAACCATTTAAAATTCTTGGAAGATATATAAATGATACAACAAATAGCTAGAAATATAGGTTTTACATAAAAAACTAACTGTGGTTGAGTCAACAGGCTTGTATTCTTTTTCTAGAACATAATCTGGATTAAAAACCTTAGAGACGGTAAAGATATTGCTGCCGTGTTTGATGTTATAATCAGATAATTGCAGGCAGAACACAAATTTTTGCCCACAAACGGAAGTAATTTCACGTGGTAAGTTGTCCTTGTCCGGATCAGATTTGTTTAACAGCTTCAAAGGAGAATAGTCTACCATCCTCTCAGCAAGTTTGTGAAAGACAACACAATTGACAACACCGGTGTCATCCCGAACAGACAAATGTAACTTGAACCTGATCACAAATGGCAGAATGATTGAAGATGTAAATTATGAAAATGGTTAGCAAGTGTTAAAAGTTTGGAGCACTTACAATGTCAAAGCATTCTTGTACGCAACATTGCAAGAAGCACATTTGTAGACACCGTCAATAGGATTGACTTTTCTACAACATCCTTGACAACCTAAATAGAACCATCCATATTGTGTCTCAATATGTTCAATAACTCCCAAGATGGTTATGATGTAACCCTAGGTATGTCAAATAAGAGGATGTTAGTGTAGAATSAAAAATTGTTTGATCAGAATACATAAAATAATGGAATAATTGTCTCTTATCATTACTTTTGGTTTGTTGCTCCACTCTGCCTGCAACAGTTGTTGAATGTTCATCCGATTCTCAAACATCTCCTCTTCCACCGTTCTCTTCACCTTACCAGAAGACACCTCCAAGTGTAGTCGAGGACAAACATTAGCAAATCTGTCAGCCAAGGCCAGCACATAATCGGCGTTGAGATTAATATACACTTTGCTTGCACTTGAAGTTGCAAAGTTTAGGACGCCTAGCAATAAAATGTATATTATGTGAAAGTTAGTTAAAAAGATATAAGCTTTAAGTTATGATATAAAAGATTATGAAAGAGATTACCTTGGAATTTTTTGACTCGGGTAGAAGTAATTATGATAACAAAGTGGCACCCGACTTTTGCTGGAATTGAGAATCATCAAAAGTTTCACCAAGAGCTCCCCATAAAGTAACTTTGCATGTGACATTGCTAAGGTAAATAGTAAGAGCAATTGGAAACAATTAACCACAGTGTCAAAGTATTTGCTAAAAGGAGAAACAACAATATAACTTGGAAGATCACTTACAATTTCGATATAATCTCCAAGTCTCTTTTTCGAAACCCACCCTTCACAGTCTCAACATCTCCGACAGCAGTTAAACAACCAATAATATCTAAAAAACCAAAAGAACATAAATCAATCAAGTGAGGTCAAAAAAGGTAATAACTTCTTTTAGACATACCTGTGAGTATGTTGTCATCGTTGAGACGGTCATTAACTGTTTTCTCACTTGCATGTTGGAACCCATGCATAGGGATAGAAGGAACATAGGTATCAACTTTTTCCACCTTGGTTAATAGTGTAAACATAATCTTCAATTTTGAGTCAATGATCTTGAAGGCGCCAGAATTCTCAACCACCTTGAAATTCTTCAAAATATACACATTTCCTTCTTTCAACAAATGGTTGAACTTGTTGACCAAGTTCTTCCTTACCATTACTGTCATGAGAGAGCCCTATGAAACAAAACAAAGGAAAACAAACAAATTAACCAAAACATACTTTGCTAATACATGGTATTAACAATAAGAATAAATGACACACATTTTCATCAATCACAACCATGTCCAAACTAATCAATTCCCCATTTCTCTTTGTATTCAAAGATTCCCACAACCTACATATCCTAATTTTTACAACCCAACTTTCATTATCTAAAACCAAGTTCTGTAATCCAACAAACTCCATATGTAGAAAGATTTGTAATAGAAACTTATAAAGAGAAAAAGATCTTATGGTATAGAAAGTAGTATGAGTAATTAACAAAGTAATAAAAAATAATACAAGCATGTGCATATATATATATATATATATATATATATATATATATATATATATATATATAGGGTATATTTCAAATACAACTCACCCTATTCTTGCAACTCATACAACCCTTTTTTCAACCAATCAATGAATTTCTTTTTTTTTTAATTATTTTTTAATTGATAAGGTTAAATATGTCATTTACTAAATTTAGATTATTATAAGTATTTTTAATTAAAAATAAATGATAATCTATTTATGGTGATTCATTCATCAGTTATGAAAATTAAATAATAAATTAAACCAAATGATTTGGCACCTGTTGGTCGATTATCACATWACTGATTTCATAACTTAAACAATGGTGGTCAATTTCTTTTTGGAATTGAATAGTTTTATAGTTTCTTCGCATTACTGATTTGGAATTGAATAGTTTTATAGTTTCTTCAGTAGTTTTATAGAACCCAGTATTAAAATYATGGATTATATGTCATTCAACGAGACTTTCAGTAAGGATATCGTCGAAAAAAACAGTGTTTTCGATTCCATGAACGACTGTCAAGGTTTTGATTATGGTGGTGAAAATGCAACCGCAGTTAATCATGAAACAATAGAAGATCAATGCAATTATTCAATGAGGAATGAAGATAGCTGTAACGATCGAAACGAAACATTATGTGAGCACAACGACGGAGTTTTTGTAGATTTTGTCGATGATGACGTTGCATCGTTGAGCAATGAATATGAAGGTATTGATTTCCTTTCATCGTTAAGCAATGTTGTTGTTTAATCAAAACTGTTTCAGAAGTGTATATGTTAATGAAACGTGTTTCAGTAATGTTATAAACACATGATTTGAAGAGTGATTATCGCATTTTAAATTATATATACGATAATGAATCATTTTTCATACGAACGGATTTCATAAACAAGTGTTTTACATGCTTTTTTATAATCATTGTAACAATCTGATAATGAACCTAAATTGAATGTAACATGTTGTTAATGAACCTATATGATAATGCAATGTAACATGCTGCTTGGTATGGTGAATCAGGTTTCATAAACATGTTTGAATGCACTGTAACATATAGTCTTATATGGTAAATCAGGTTTCATAAACATACAAGAGAATAGATTTTCGGTGTTCTTTCTTGAAACCTGTTAATGTGTGTGTAATATTTTCATCAAATGTCATATACATTTCATAACGTCGAACATGCCAATAGCATAATGTTTAAACAAACTAGAAAATTCAATACCAAAAGCAAGTYAYTAAAACCGTCTACATGAGAAAAATATAAAAGAACATCAATCAATCAGATTCAAAGTCTCTCAGTCTTTGTATCGTCAACATGTTTTCTTAACTTTTTTCGAATGGCTTCATCCATTGATTGAAACTTCTCAACTTCCTTAACGACATATTCCTTCTTCTTGTTGTAGTTGCTCACCAATAATTTTGCTACATATTTCATTCTGAGGGATGCTATTTGGATCTCTTGTGTTTTCCTTCTTATGCCAGGCCAGTTTTCCATGTTCGCACATCTCCCATGTACGTCTCCATGTGTCTCATTGCAAACACGCCACAATCATTGAAGTTGTTTTGTGTCTGCCAATCTATCCTCAACCTTTCTTGGCCTATTTCATCTAGTTGTCTCCCCGCTAGATGTCCAACCGCATTCAAATGCCTGATCATCAATCTTTGCTGCACAAACGGAATGAAATTCAAATTTATAGAGGACGAACCTATTCACGTATTAACATCTCAAATTGCACACCGATCATCAACATAAAAACCCGAAACAATAATGCAACCATATTACACTTTCTATCCAAATTA